AAGGGACATCTCAGAAGCCATCAAGTGCATCGTTGCGGAACTAGGTGTTGGAATTACACACAGACCCACAGTTACGACGCGAAGCAGGGTAATGAAAAAACAGACCGGCTGAATCCCAGTGAACCATCTGGGGTAGCGTATCGCATCACATGTGTTAGCTGTCTCTATAACTATACAGGGCAAACTGGACGCATACTCAGATCGCGCATAAATGAACAGAAACGTGCGGCATGACTAGGTAATTAATTATCAGAAGTTGCAACGCATACTTATGAAACAGGCTATGAGCTAAACTTTGCGGCTGTCAAGGTACTCGCGCACGCTGGATACAGGACGGTCGAGAATTCAATCAACCGATGTGTCGAGTTGGCGCCGGCGTACAGAGCCTTGCGCAGTCATGCCCAGACGTCCGTCACAGTTAATTGGCTCACATCCTCTATAATTAGCTCAATTTTCGTTGCTGACGCCCTGACGACCTTTGACCTCACTGATAGCTTATTAACGTATACCAGTACAGTCGCCCCCTCCCCCCATTATTCATCGTTTAGTCTTACCCCCATATGACCTGACGAATCCTGACAGCTGGTTGGTGTACACGAACTATAATTGCCCCCTTTTTGTTGCTGTTTCGTATTACTGACGGTGGACTCCTGTAAGATTTCGAAAGCTGAGGGCAATAAACAACTTGATCCAGTGCTCGACAACCCTTCTTCCTTATTTATGCAAATACCTGAAACACGGAGGTTTTTATTCATTCGTGACTTAAGTTCCTATGATGATATTCATGCGAAGCCCGTGGAGCACAACTTGGCTTGTTTGACAGTTCCATTCGATCTCTTTATAATTTCACTCGATTCTTGAGAATGTAGCTCTAGCTTTGCATTCGAAACTAAGCGATCCAGAAACCGTATTGAATTCGTGCTGCTATTATTCAAATGCCACTACTTAGGCGGAAGTAATGCCGCTAGCATTTATTTCGTAGACCTTTTTTAGCATTAAAATTACCGATAAGGAAGATTTAAAGGAAAAGTTAACAATGTTATTGATTGTTTTACGTCAAATGTTTACAACCATGTACATCTAATCTTGCCCAGCTTAAAACGATGAAGTGTTTAAGAAAACAATGCATTTTTCACGCATTCTTCGCTCGATTTGTACGTAGAGAAATTCCCCAAAGCCGCCTATTTCTTCAAAATTGACTTGAATGAAAAGAATTTAACTTGTTTTCAAGAAACCGAGTAACGTTTTTGATATTTTCTAATCTAGGATGCACAAACATGTTGTGCCAAACATCCATAAGTATAAAAGTTATCTGGGTATAATTGTGGGCCAGTATGTCGTAAGAAATATTTTGCTTTGCTTAATAAAGCGTCGCAGAAGTATATTTTTGTATGACGAAAGAGCTTTACACGTGTTGCAACGTGCCACTGAATGATATTTTCGACATTATATGAGTTCTCAACTGCGGATTTGTTTTGTGGCCACCATGTTTCGCCGATTTCGTTAACCGTTCTTGAATTGAACTTCAACTTTGCCTACACACAACAGGACTCTACGCAAACTCTGCCTAAACAAGAAAGAAGACTCTTCGGTCACCGGATCAATTGTTTTATTGTCCTCAGCAGTCCATCTTCAGAGAAGCTGTAATTTAAACATGCAAGAAATAGAGCTGAAATTTGGCATGCCTTGTTGCTTCAGCTGCTTTTGCGTAGATCGCTGAAAAACAGACCAAAATTCAGAACTCCTGCGGTGGGAAAAGAAAAAAATTGTTTGGACAAATGGTAACTGCCAGATGAGAGCAGGAAGATTATCGACTGAAGATTTTAACAGTAAGAATGAGGCGCACAATTTTTGGAGCCTTGTAGCTACAACACCGGCTGAAACGATTTCAGTTTTCCGTTAATCGGCGAGATAAACTAAATTCAAAAAATCTATTATTGGTCCATCTAAATGCTCCACATTGCGGTTCGATTAGGAAATGCCTTTTACTGATTGCCCGCAAGCACAGAACGAGTTTTCATGAAAAGCGGTCAGCACACAAGAAAACTTGTGAGCACAAACCACATGCCTGAAGTCTGACCACGTGAGTGAACAGCAAATCTCCCCTAGGAAAAAGATCACGTTCTGCGTTGCCACGAACTACGGGCTGCGGCCAGGTCAAATGCCTGGTTAAAATTGATTTTTATGATGACAAAGTTATCTGAGTTACGCATAGTTTAGAGCTAAAAATTGTTGTCGGAGTTTTTGGGTCGTAAAATGCGACTGGGATAGGCTTGGCGCCGTTATATTGTCGTCTGGTCCACTCAGCGCGACACCTCTTGTTTTGCTGACAAAATAGACCAACAGTGGGTGCCAAAACATTATAACGCGGGAGCCAACATCCTTTCTTTGTGCAAGGCTCATTCAACTGCTCAAATAGTGACGAATAATAGGCACGTGATGAAGATCACCTGCAAACTTGTTTTCGTCTTTAAACAAAAGAACTGAGGATATAAACCATGTATTTTCTCACTCAGAATATTTGAGCTGTGGCACAATAAATTACCAGGGATACTTCGACCATTAGGAGCTACCTTAATTTCGCCTATTTCCATCAAGGGTCAGAAGCTATTATAACCATCTTCTCTTTCGAGTTCTACCTCTCTGTGCCAATCTTTACTTCAGATAGGTTTATCTTAGCTTGATTAATTCAGTAAGTTCTCGACATGAATCAAAGGCGCTAATCCAGTCCCTCATTCACGCCGTTTTGGAATCGGTTCCGGTTTTAACCATTTTCAGCCGATGACACGTGACCTTCATAAATTGGCACCTCGCTTCGCCACGTACGGTGTCAGGCCGACTGAACTTCGACCGTTCCTGCCTCTGCCAACAGCAGGTGATATACTTTCAGCCTCATTTCTGCGGGCTTCTGACATGAAACAGCCACCAGTTTATTGAAGGATTATGGTGGCTCTATTAGTTGAAGTCTCGTGGGCATCTGAAGTCACATATGCATTCGAGGAGATGTGAAAACCACAGTAACAACTGATTATGCTTCAAGTCTTCCTCAAAATTGGCGCCTCTTTAGAATAAGAAAATCTTAAGCCCGGTTAAAAGTAACCAGTACGTCTAACTATACTCCTGATCCTAAGGAAGCCGGTAGTGGAACTGCCGGAAAACTCAATTTTAGTCTACCTTGGAAAGACTAATTGGTTCCCAGGATTCTCTTTTTGCCTACGTGCTGTCGGAATTTGCAGCGCAAAACCGACAATTACTAATCTGATTTCGCTTTTTCCAAAAAATCTTCAGCTGGCTTTTATTTTTTAAACCCCTCGGTCTTGTAAAGGAAGATTGATTAACTTGCTGGGTTGGCAGGAGTTGGTGTTTTTAGTAAGGCAGATTTCTCGTCTAACAGGTAATTTGCAGCGTGGTGGGTTGGAACACCTACGGATTTTTAGTTCATCTGATAAGGAAAAAGACAAAGAACAAATACAATAATTGAAGCAGAATCGCGATTATAGCAGTTGTCTGACTGCATCCATGTTATTCATGTCAGTGACAGAGGACTCAAGGTAAATTAAAAGTGAGCAATAAGTTCCATAAAGGAAGGATTCACACTGGCGACATTCAACTCCGCACCACGTACTTTAGCGGTCTATCTGTTTTCTTTGTTTTCCCTGAAAGACATCCACTGCATTCCACCAAAACTTCCACGCGTTTTAAAAGTTCGCTCGGCAACAGTAGCTTATGTAGACCCACTCATTAATCCCTACTTCCTGCATGTTCTCCTACAAAAACGGTGGTTATAGGGTTTTAGGGGTTGAAGAATTAGGACACGCAGTGGAATATACTTTAATAAATGCTGAGTGCATTTTTATTTTACTGTACTTAGAAGTGTTGTTGAA